ACAATATGGCCATGTGAAGAGAGGTAGAGATTGGGATTATAGGGCTACAAGCCAAGGAACATCAAGAGTTCCTGGCAACTACCAAAAGCAGGAAGAGGCACAACAAGAATTGCTATCTAGGGGGGAAATGGGAGCACAGCCCCTGCTTTCGGACATCTGCCCTCCAGAACTGCAAGTGAATGAAGCTCTGTTGTTTTATGCCACCTAGCTGATAGTAGTTTGTTATTGAAGCCCTAGGTATAACATATAGGCACCAAGTTCATCACGAAATACTTCCTACAGTACATATGTTTTTCATTGGGGATACTAATTAACATGAGGCTTGGGCTGCAAGAGCATCATGGGTTGTACCAAATTAATGTTTTTGACCCAACTTTCTTCTCTCACCTAGAAGATATATGTGTCACATTTCCAGTGGCATGTTCATTCTGCCCTGAATGCCACAGCAGTCTCCAGAATTCCTTATTCATTAAATGTTTGAGCCTTCTGGGTGATCTGCTTTGAACATCCTTCCATTCTATTGGCTTCACCTTTTGTCTTCTGCCTATATGTTTCTTTTTTTAAAAAAAAAATAAATTTTATTTTGAGACAGGGTCTTGCCAGGCATGGTAGCACACTCCTGTAATCCCAGCACTCCGGAGGCTGAGGCAGGAGGATCGATGTGAGCTCAAGACCAGCCTGGGGGGCTGGAGATTTAGCTCAGCGGCAAAAGCGCCTGCCTGGCATGCGCAAGGTCATGAGTTCGGTTCCCAGTACCGGAGAAAAACAAAACAAAAAACAAACAAAAAAAAAAAAAAAAAAAAAAAAGACCAGCCTGGGCTACAAAGTAAGCTCAAGGCCAGCCTGAACTGTATAGTGAGACCGTGTCTCAAAAAGACAAAAAAAATAAAAACAAAAACAAAAATATTCAAAGTATACAGAGAACAGGAAATAATAGAATAAACACTCCTGGGGTCATCACCCAGATTTTCCTCCCTGTCTTCCTACGCTCCTCTTTTTCTCCTTTCCTGTCACATTTCACCTCATATATTGCTTGCTCTCAGTCTCTAGAGAAGGTTGGGTATAGCCAGTGTGGTGAATACACCTGTAATCTCAGTATTCTGGGAGGCTGAGGTAGAAAGATCTCAGGTTGAAAGCCACCTGAGCAACTAAGTGACTTACGGAGATCCTGTCTCAAAATAAATTTTTAAAAGGCTGGGGATGGGGATGGGGATAGCTCAGCAGCACAGCACCTTGCTTGGCAAGCTCAAGATCCTGAGTTTGATTTCCAGTGCAAAAAAAAACCCCCCAAAAACCACACACACGCACACAAAAAAACAAAGCTGAGATGTACCTCAGTCTGAAGGCACTGGGTTTAATCCCTGAAACTGGGCGGGGGGGTGGAGCACATCTCTAATGCCAGCACTTGGGGAGATTGAGTAAGAAGGATTGTAACTTTGAGCCTAGCATGGACAATTTAGTGAGACACTGTCTCAAAATTTAAAAAATAGTACTAAAAATAAGAAAGCAATGAGGATGTAGCTCATTGCAGAGGCGCTGGGTTCAATCCCCACTACAGGGGTAGGAAGAGGGGAGGGGGTGAGTATGGAGAAACACAGCCTGGCTCTATGCCTATCCCTAGGGTGGAACACACACATAGAGGATGAAAATTAGATGGAGTATCAGAGGGTAGGCAAGGAGTTATGACCCTCCAAGTAATTTATTTCCAGTACATCGTTTCTGTGATTTATTTATTTATTTCTGTTTTTGCTTTGGAGACAGGGTCTCACTATGTAGTTCAGGCTGGTCTTGAATTTATGGTGATTCTTCTGCCTCAGCCTCCTGAGTGCTGGCATTACAGCCAAGTATCACCACACCCAGCTATTTCTTCATTTTAGATATGCTCTTCCAGACTGAACCTATTTTGGTATTTTGGCCTTTAAAATTATAAATTCACGCAGCAGTACTTGGAAGCCTGAGGCAGGAGGATTGCCGCAAGTTCAAGGCTAGCCTATACTATAAGTGAGATCTTATTTCTACAAACAAATAAACAGAAATTAGAAATTCTAGGCTGGTAGTTTAGAGTGCTTGTCTATCACATGTAAGGTTCTGGGTTTGATCTTTGTATGGCAAAAAAATAAAACCAAAACAAGCAAAAAACCTCCCCAAACTAGAATTTAATTTAATTTAATTTTATTTTATTTTATTGTCATTTTGGAGACAGGGTCTCACTACACAGTCAGGCTGGCCTTGAGCTCACTTTGTAGCCCAGGCTGGTCTCAAACTTGCAACGATCCTCCTGCCTCTGCCTCCCAAGTGCTAGGATTACAGGCGTGCACCACCAGGCCTGGCTCAAGCTAGAATTTCTTTGGAATATCTATCTATCTATGTATCTATCTATCTATCTATGTATCTATCTATCATCTATCTATCTATCTATCCTCTTGAGCTTCCTTTCAAAATGGAGTGAGTTACTTCCCATATGGCCTGATGGAAAAGAGAGAAGTATCAGGACCAATATCTGGGAAAATAGCTTTTCTGACACCCACTGTGCCTTCTTTGGTCTTCTCATTGCCATGTAAAACTTCCCATTAGAGGATTTTATGTTGTTGCTTTAAAAATACTTATTAACTCTTGGTCATAGATTTCAATTTCCCAATTTTCCCTTGAATTTAATGTCTCTGATTAGAATTTCAAGTTGCAAAACATTTTTCAGAACTATTTTCATTATAATTTGGGGTTCAGCAGATCATTTGACAAGCAGAATTAGAAATAAAACAGCCTAAAGTATTTTTTAAAATATGGCTCCATTTGGTAGGGCTGGTAGAAACGCACTGAACAGAAATGACACTATGTATTTCTCGCTTCCCCTCATTTGTTTTGAACCACAGGCTCCATTCTGGTTTAGGAGTCTTTCCTGCTCAGCATTTCAGTGATAATTCTCCCCCTGGTCTACAGGATCCCTGTTCTCCTTGTTACTATAGCAACAGTCCTGTGTTGCTTGGCTAGAAGCAATTTTCTGCTGCTGTGGTGAAGCCCTATTTTTTTCATTCTTTTCTCTCTAGTTGCCTTGGTAACTAGTCTCTTCCTTTTCTGGTCTCTTGGTGTAAAATTCTACCCCCCTCCTTTTTTTTCACTCTCTAGTAACAGTCACCTGGTCTTGACTTGGACAGAACTATCCCATCTATGAGTGAGCATACTGTCATCATCAGACTGTCATAATGAAATCAGCCTTCCTTTTTCTTTATCTCCATCTGGTCTCTGGCCTGCCATCTTTCTGGTGGTTGTCATGGTAACCATACCCTCTGAAAGTCTCCAGGCAAAGGCTCTACAGTTAACAACCATCATGTGAAAGTGTCTGCCAATATGTGGTCACACATCTCCATTTTAAATCCAGCCCCAGGCGGGTACCACAAATTGGAGAGAACAGGGCTTTTTATCAAAGCAAGCTGGTTTGAGAAAGGGAGGTAACAGGGACCAAGAACTGGGAGTGGCGCTCTCTAAACAATACGTGTGGCTACAAGATTCATGCTGCGTCTTCAAGAGTGCCTACTGTGCCAAAGGATATTCAAATGATTGGGAAATATATTGGTAGTCATTCTAGGCAGGCTATCACAGACTCCCAACTTTTAGGGGTTATTCCTTTGGCACGTGGAATCCCAGTATGACCTGAGAGCCAAGGGGAGCCAATCTTGGGAAGCATGCAGTTAGAATCCTTCCCCTCCTTTTTTGTACTGCTCAGATAGAATCCAGGGCCTGTGTATGCCAGGCAAGTGCTACACCAGTGAGCTACATCCCAGCCCCAGTTGGCTAACAGAGGGTTAATAGTATAGCTATTTAGGCATTTTTACACATTCCTGAAAAATTCGGTGCCCTTAGGCTGCTGCTACTACCTCTTCAGAGAGGCAGATGGGATGTTAAGGGTATAATAATAGAAAGTGTTCAACAAATGGTGGTTGTTATGTGCCAGGCCATGGTAGCAGGCACCTTTCTGACATTATTTCATTTTCTCTTTATGGCAGTCCTGAGAGGGTTTCTATGATAAGAACACTGAGGATAATAGGTGAATTAGGGGCTGAAGGTGTAGCTCAGTGGTAGAGCACTTGCTTGGCATCTCAGAGGTACTAGGTTCAGTTCCCTGTAACACATCCCCATCCCAATAAAAAATTAATGAAGGTGACACCTTTGATAAATCAGAGTTGAGATTTTAAGAATTCTGGTCCGGGACTGGGGATTTAGCTCAGCAGCACAGCGCCTACTTGGCTAAGCACAAAGTCATGAGTTCGGTTTCGGGTACCAGAAAAAAAAAAACTAAAAAATTAAGAATTCTGGTCCTCTTGTCCTTATTTTTCCTACTCCCACTTTAACCTGAGAGCTGTTACTACTGTATTTTTCTGTCTTCTCTTAATTTCCTCTTCTAATTTGGTGGGTTGTTGTTCATTTGCTGTTTTTCTGTTTTCACCCTATCTCTTGCATCTTTTAGTTAAGGGGATGGAAATTTTGTCCTGCCCTCAGATTCTCTCAAGTTGCACTGGGGAATGAAAATACTACAGCGGGTCTGATTCCAGGAGAATGCCACATCCCTGAGCTCACGGTTTCAGGGCTAAATCGGCAAATCTCCTCTCCACTGAATGACTGTTGGGTGTCTCTGTTCGGTAGTATGTGCTTGGCACTGGAAACTTACCAATGATTAAGACAGAATTTGTACTTTTGTTTTTATGAAACTAACAGCCTGGAGTAGAAGCCAGACATTAAGAGGCCAATATACAATTTTATATTGTCGTTAGTGCTCTGAAGAAAAAGAAATATAGGAATAGATCTATTTTAGATGGGGCTGCTATCTCCCTTGTAAGAGAGCAGTTCACTCAGGATCTGACATGTGCTAGATGCTGGCAGCCACGTTGCAAGCCTGCTAAGCTTGAGACCTTTGTCCAGAGGCTCGCTCCTCCTTCTGCACCGTCCCTTCAGAACGCTAGATCCGCGCCTGCGCACTGACTGTTGCCATAGGGACAGCTGCCCCGGCACATGCGCAAATGTCTCCAAGATGGCGGCTGCGGCGGCTGCGCGAGCAGTTCCTGTGAGCCCTACAATTCGGGGCTTGAAACGGACACTGCCTCTTGTAGTGATTCTTGGGGCTACCGGCACTGGCAAGTCCACCCTGGCGTTGCAGCTAGGCCAGCGGCTGGGCGGCGAGATCATCAGCGCCGACTCCATGCAGGTATGGTAGTGCGGCTGCCCGGGCCTAGGAACCCAGAGCCGCTAGCAGGCTCCTGGAGGGAGGAGTGGACACCCTGTCGCGTGATCGTAGTGCGTGAGCCCAGATCACGCGATTGGGGGGCAGGGGTTAGGTGAGGGAATCCGTTATATGCCAGACCCCCACTATATGAGAGGCGCAGTGCCGAGTGTTTTTCCTTTGATCATCTCATTAACTTTCACCACATTACTCCTTGGTAGGTACTATTATCCCATTTGCGAGGTCTTAGGGAGGTGAAACGACTTTTCATGTCACGAAAGGAATAAGTGGAGGCGATGAGATGGTGTTTGAATCTACATGGTTGACAAATAGGTATCTAATCAATATCTTTTGTTTTGTTTTGTTTTTGAGATAGGGTTTCCCATTGTGGTTCATGCTGGCCTTGAACTCACTATGTAGTCCAGGTTGGCCTCGAACTTGTGATCCTCCTGCCTCAGCCTCCCGATGCTGGGATTGCAACCATGCACCACCATGCCTGGCTCCGATAAATACCTTTTGAAATGGAAATTACTCCAGAGTTTTTGCTAGAAATGTTACCCTAACCCAGTGAGATCAGGCTAAATTGGATGACACACTAAAGTGTACCAGCTGGGGCAGTAGAATAGAGCAGTTAGGCGACCTGAATTGTAGTCCACAATCTGCCATTGGCCACGTGGCTTCAGATTAACAGTGACCTTTATTTGGACTTTATTTTGCCTGTAAAGTGGAGAAAATGTCACCTTCCTTATTAATAAGCGAGACCATGAGTGTTAGAATGAGGAGCAGTACGGCCTGGCCTGAAGAAGGTCAGGCATGTGGCAAATTCTTGCTGAAGTTCAGGTATTTAACCTTACTAGCTGATCTGAGTTGAGAGGGTTTTGTCTTTTTGTTTGAACTGAGGCGGAGAGAAGGTGTTGTATTCATTCCATGTGGGAGCGTTGTGTTTGATTGAGAATGACTGACTTTTTGGGTGAATCTGATGGAAGAATTACGACAGCTACTTATTGAGAAGAATTTACAGTTAGGAGTGTTCACAGTAAATGAAATGTTGGAAATGAAATACTTATGACTGAATCTAGCTAACGTCTGATGAGTACTCCACCAGAAAGGGCAGTTCTCTTTCAACCCAGCCCACCAGCCTCCTGGCTGGTTTCTACCTTCATTAGTTTATTTGGGATGAAAAGACCATCTGCACACATTGAAAACATAGAATAACTCAACAAACATTTGCTTGCAGTCTACTTAGTGCCAGCTTTGGGAAATAGTTTAGCGCAAATTCCAACATTGTCTTTTCCAAAGTATGCAACTTTAGCATAACCTCTTCATGCCTTTGTTTCTTCTGTAATGTGGTAAGAATAATAATCAACGGAACAGTATTTTTTTTTTTTTTTGGGTACTGGGAATCGAACTCAGGACCTTGCACTTGCCAGGCATATGCTTGTACCACTGAGCTATATCCCCAGCCCAGTTGAACAGTATTGTGATGATTTTAGTTTATTTTTTGTTTTTTAGACGGGGTCTCAGTATGCAGTTCAGGCTGGCCCTGAGCTCACTTTGTACCCCATCGCAAAGATCCTCCTGCCTCAGCCTCCTGAGTGCTGGGATTACAGACGTACGCCACCACGCCCGGCAAAACCCAAGCAGGATGATTTTTTTTTTTGGTACTGGGAATTGAACTCAGGACCTTGTGCTTGCCAGGCAGGGGCTTGTGCCTCTGAGCTATATCTCTGGCAGTTGTGATGATTTTAATACAATATATGACATGTAGTAAGGGCTAAGAATATGGTAGCTGTTATTATCGGCAAGATTCTGTTGCAATCCAGGTGCGGTGGCATACACCTGTAATCCCAGAACTCACGAGGCGGAGGCAGGAGGATCATTGCAAGTTCAAGATCAGCCTGGGCTACAAAGTGAGCTCAAGGCCAGCCTGAACTGCATAGTGAGATCCTGTCTCAAAAAGAAAAAAGAAAAAAAAAAAAAGATTGGGAAAAGAGAGATTATAAATTAGATTGTATGATAAACTGCTAAATATTGCAGAGTTCCCCTGAGAAAGGAGAAATCAGTAAAGGCTGCCATAGTCACTGAAAACTTTAAAAAAGGCTTGAGAAATAGATTAGGTGTGGCTAGGTAGGAAAGAAGAAAAGGTACACCAAAAAAAAGAGCATGAAGAAATGATCATGGTGTATAGGTAGGACAGTGAAAGGGGACTTCAGGAGGGAGATAAGTAATGTGAAGGCAGTGTGTAAGCAGCATTTGTGTGTGAGCTGTATGCCTGATGAACTGGACTTCGGAGGGGGCACACAAAACATTCAAGTGTGGTGTCATAGATCTTTGGCCTGATGCCTTGGAGTCTTGATTAATGTGGGCTTCAGTAGGATGGGATTGCACTAATAATGTCTTAAGGGTCGTTCTAGTCCTTATGTTATGTAATTTCTATGATTCTGGCTTGGTACAGTGTTAGTGGGGATGAAAGGAAAGAGGAAGATATAACATTTTGAGGGTGATAGCATGTTACTACCTTAGTAATATGAGTTGGTCACCGAGCGGGGAAAGAAGAGAGTAATGTGCACAGTGGATTCTGGATTCAGGATTGGGTAATTTGGGTGAGTAGTGAACCTGAAAGTCAGGAAATCATGTGGGCATGGTGGGATGGCAGTAGGACTTGCCCGGAGAAGTCTAGTGAGTGGATATTAGGAGAATGCTATGGACATTAACCCACTGCAAGACTCATGTGCTTGTTCCCTTTGCCTTGTGGAATCTCTGCTATTCTATAATCACGGGACTTACTGTCTTTGTTCAGGTCTTCTCTCAGTTGTCACCCACATAGTCCCTGCCAAGAAAGTGTTCCTAATAAGTCATCTTAAGTTTGCATTTTATTTATTGATTGTGTCACCAGGGATAGAACCCCGGGCCTTCACACTGAGGTATATCTCTAGCCCTTTTATTTTTTATTTTTATTTTTATTTTTTTTTGAGACAGGGTCTCCCTATATACAGTTCAGGCTGGCCTTGAGCTCACTTTGTAGCCCAGGCTGGTCTTGAACTCACAATGATCCTCCTGCCTCAGCTTCATGAGTGCTGGGATTACAGGCGTGCGCCACAATGCCTGGCCAGTGACCAGTTGATTTCTTGATAATAGTCATTCTGCCATTCTTTCTGGGGTGAGATGGAATCTCAGTGTTGATTGATTGATTGATTGATTTTTTTTTTTCCTTTTTGAGACAGGGTCTTGCTATGTAGTTCATGTTGGTCTCAAACTCAACAGCAGTCCTCCTGCCTCGGCCTACCTGAAATTATAGGCATGAGCCACCATGACCAGCTTCAGTGTTGTTTTAATTTTCATCTCTCAAATGACCAGTGATGTTGAACATTTTTTCATATATTTATTGGCTGTTTGTATTTCTTCATCTGAGAAGTGTGTGTTCATCTCAAATGCCCATTTTTGGATTGGGTCTTTAAATTTCAGGGCTCTGATATTTTTGAGTTATTTATTTATTCTAGATGGTAATCCTTGGAGGAACAGGTGGCAAACATTTTTTCCCACATTGTGGGTTGTCTCTTCATTCTGTTGGTGGTTTCTCTTGCTGTGCCAAAGCTTTTTATTTTATTTTTTTATTTTTGTCTTTTTGAGACAGGGTCTTTCTATGCAGTTCAGGCTGGCCTTGAGCTTACTTTGTAGCCCAGGCTGGCCTTGAACTTACAATGATTCTCCTGCTTCAGCCTCCCAAGTGCTGGGATTATATGTGTGCACCACCACGTCTGGCTCATTTCTGGAATCTTGACTATGATATGCCTGTCTATAGATTTTTTTTAAAAATTTTTATTATGGCTAATTGGAGTTCTATATGCCTCACTTTTCTATATATTAAATTATTTTTCTCTACCAGGGAAGTTTTCTACCATGATGTCTGAACAGGTTTTTTGTTTTTTGTTTTAATCTCATTTCTGCTGTCTCCTGCTTTTTTCATTGACTCCAATCAGTCTTTAAGGTTTTCTTCTTTGCCTCATCTAGCATCTGCTGTATTGATTTCTCATGGTTCCTTGCTATTTTTAAGAAATCTTTCTTTTCATAATTGCTAACTGCACATCTGTCTTCTATATCTGAGATCCTGTCCTCACATTGGCTTAGTCTCCTGTGGATACTTTAAATGAAATTTTTATTTTCCTGGATATCTGCTTGAATCTGCCTTATGGATTCCATTTCTTTCCTGTGCTGAGCATTCATGGCTTCTATAATTTTCTTAAGCTCCTCTATTTCTTTGTATCTGCTCTAGAGTCACCGAGCACTCACCTAGCATTCATAAGGCCTTAGATTCGATCTTTAGTGTATGACCGCCCCCTGCAAAAAAGCCATTTTGTTCATATATTTACCAAATTTGAATTTCTTTGCTTTTGCTTTTGTTTTTGACTTTTTGAGACGGTGTCTCATGTAGCCCACATTGGCCTCCAACTCACAATACTGCCTTGGCCTCCTGAGTGCAGGGATTACAGGCATGTACTACTATACTTGGTTAGCAAAAACAATGTGAATCAACCTCAAGTCACTGAAAAACTACATCTCCTAAATCAAGCAGAGTAGCACTACCCTAACTGAGGTGGGACAGTGAGCCAGGGCAGAAATGAAGTATTGTGAATACCCAAGTGAATGGGACATCAGTACATCATTATTCTGACTTAAAAGCAAAATCAAAGGTCAAAGTTTTCCAGTAAGGATCAAGAGAAAATGTTATGAATATCCAAGGTATAATTAAAATTAAACACATTATATAAGCACTTCAGGAAGTTCAATAATCTTCCATATTTTTCATGTATTTATTAATGCTAATGGCATCCCAAGGATGAAAGAAAGTTGTCATTTTAGTTACTTATAACTATAGGAAGAATGTGAATGTGTTAAGATGTACCATCTTAATAAAAATATTTTACCAAATATGAAAGATGAACCATATCAGTTGCACTATTTGAGGCATAGAATATTCCTCTGAC